TCAGTTTAAGAGCTCTAAACTGAACTGACTGATAAGACGAGAGCTCTAAACTGACACTGAACTGACTGCCAAGCAATCAGTCAGTCAGTCAGTCTCATCAGTTTGGATTGATTGTTAGCAACTCTGGATGTTTCTGTGGAATAAACCGGGAGCACAGTGGCATATTGCGATTCCGAAAATGTCGAGCTATTCGTCGTAAGGGTTGATGTAAGCGAACAAGGGGTCGAAGTCGCTATAGACTCAGGCACAGTGATGTAAGTTGTTCTTGTGGTAAGACTCGTCCGAGTAGTGTCGCATGGCGTTGTCGTAGTCTCCAGAGGGGACGTTGACGATGTGGTGTAGCCATAGGCCGCTGTCGATGTAGTAGTACATGGTGATGATGTCGCAGAGACAGTGTATTCGATCAGTGTCGAAGTGGGTTTTAGAGAAGTAGTACAAGTAGTAGAGGTTTTCTCGATCGCAATCGTCGAAGTAGGGTATAACAGAGAAGAAGTGCAAGGCGTGGAAACTGTCTCGCTCACTATTGTAGAAGTAGTGCTCAGTGAAGAAATTGTGTAAGCAGTATAACTTGCCCGTGTCGAAGTAGTCTTTGCAAGATAGGTTTTAGACCTCGTGCTACTTATCAGCGTCGGTGTAGTACTTGTGAGAGAGGTTGCTGACAAGATAGTGCTGATCGGCGTCGAAGTAGCAACCAACTCCGAAGTCGAAGACACCACATCACTAGCGAATATAAAAGAGATGCTCCGGTCAAGTGTCGGAGCCGCCGCCTCTTCACTGACAAGTGCGGCTGTGTTATCAGCACGCGCCATTCCCATGGTAGCGTTCAGCATCGGTGCCGTGGCGTTGTGGCTAGCCATTGAGGGAGGGATTACGACGCCTGTAGCGTTGTTGAAAGCATCGTCGGGCGATGCGCAGGACGATAACAAAGGGAAGACTGCCGTGAAAATATTCTCTTCAATTCCAACTGCATTGAAAGGTGGTGGAAGGGGTGGCAAGGAAACGTCTAGAGCGATATCGATCGAAAGAGAGACGTTTGCTTCGACCAAGGCCAGAGGGCCTAATTTGATGAGTTCGGGGGATAGTCCTGCCGTGTGGTTCGCAAATGGCGCATCTGAATGAGTGTTGTTACTGCCATTACCGCAGTTCTCTGCAATCTTGCTCGATAGCTTCGCGTCCAGACGGGGTAACTGCAAAGAAGGTGTTATTTCAGCCTTCAGCTGATCCAGGAATTCGAACCCAATCGGTATCGAAGGTACGAAGGCGAGACCGAGTAGAATCTCTGCATCAGTCACATTGACTTCGACAGGCAACGGAGTGAGTCTGGACTCCTGGAAACCAGTGAGACTGCTACTGGCAAGATCCGTAAGTTCCACTCGGAGGCTGGAACCATCAGGAACCTGATAACGTCAGTATCAAATGGCCACGATTATCCAGAAGACTATACATACCGTGACCTCAAGCCCGTAGTTGACTTCGAGTGTACCGCTCAGCTCAAAGTCGAACGCAATCCTTGGCTCAAAGATAGCTCCAGCCTTGCCAACGCCAGGAATCACGAAACCAGCAATTGGAACCTGGAACAAGGTGATCTCGAATTCACCAGAGCTGACTGGTCTGGCAAACAACTCAAGTCGTGCACCAACACCAGTAGCCACAAGCTCGACGAAGCCACCAGTAATCACACTCGTGATTTCCTTCCCATCATCTCCTCCTTCGAAGGTGTCCGGAATCAGATCAATTTGTGAAGCGTCAATCTTGAAGGCGCCCTGTGTAAGAGCGAGCTGTCCACTTGTCGTACACCTCTTACATCCAATCTCAATTGGTACCGATGATTCGGGCACTGGGTTGCCGGGAGAAATCGCTGACAAGAAGGATTCAAGGCCGAAGGTCTTGTTGAGAAGCTCTGATCCCAGGTCAAAGGCAACAGTGTTGACATCGTCGGGAGTGTCTGCAGGTATGTCGATCCTATTCTGTCGCTTGCGGCGGAGCCTCGTAAAGTCGGAATGGCGCCGGTATACGTGGTTCTCCGTAGTGTGACCAAATGAGATGTCCACGTAGTCAAATGCTGCTTGCCATGTCGTCTTCGAGACGGATAGCTCAAGGGCTTCTCCATCCTTAGCGAATGACACGTCATGTACCCTGGGATCATCAGAGAAAGTCTTTGAGGTACTTGTCAGAAGCTTACTGATATACCGATCGTTCACCTTCCTTGTTACAGCTCTTATGTGACGTAATGATTAGGCCTCCATGAGCACCATGACAAGCCGATCGGGCATCTCGTGCTGAGGAAGTATCTACAAAGTGCAGTTTCATCGTGTCGTCGTCACACTGTACATCTTGCAGATGGTGTTCATGCTCTTCCAAATTGAGCAGAGGTTTCTGCGAGCTGACTTTGACCTGTGAAGCAAATGTAGACTCGTCATTCCAGACGTTCTCATCTAGCGCACTATTAGCGATATTGTGGAAGGACGTGACGACTCCAGCATACTCTCAACGTAAGACAATTCGGTCTCAAATCTCTTGGTGATCCTCACGCCTCTCCTGTAGAGGTCTGACCGTTTCGTAGCCGCTCGCAGCAGCCGGTGTGTCTCGAGATCATCTCTCGAGATCGCAGCAACATCGGTGTTAAGGTATGCGATTAAGAAAACCACCAAAGTGCCACGAAGGCTAGAGAGTTGCATATCGCGTGCGTAAAGCCTGTCAAGTAAAGAGTGGAAGGGGTGCCTGTGATCTACAAAGATATCTGTAGGAAATGACGCCCAAGTAGCACAAGAACGATAAGACGAGTATTAAAAGATATAACGAAACGAACGGCAGTCAAGGAGCGTATACCGAACTTCAGAACCCTCGCCAGCGAGTGTAAACGACGAAGATATAGAAGCAAACCTGTGGAGAGAATCCACAAAGAGGAAACGGAAGATACCTACCCCTACGAAGATCGGATATCAGCCATATTATTAAACTCAACTCATTGCACCACCAGCACAGCCAAGCAACGCTAGCTTCAGTCTGCTATAGAAACCAGACACGGTACCTGCGTTTTTGCCGTGGGCAGGTTGCTTTCGTAGAGAAAAGCTGCACCACGCGTGGTAGGCCTAAGCTCCTCGGCCCGTGGTTCGCGTCGCATACTCACATGTCGGGCCTAGTCTGCTGTGCATGTGGCGCATGCTGCATGCGCTACAGCTGTCATAGGTCCATTGAGCGATAAGACAGCGGAGTATTGGTACGGGATGAACTCTCAAACGGGTAGTGTGAGAGAAATGGTTCTGTTTGCCTCAGGTTCTTGTCCAGGCGAGTGGACTGTGCTCGCGTCGTTAGCGCGTCACACTAACCTTCTTTTTGTCTTTTGCTGCAAAAACCCCTCGGAGTTTCCTGACGGTATCTAGGATTGGAGGAGTTCGGGTCTTTCGGCAGCTTGAAAGGGCCTTTTGTTCATTGGTAGAGGATTCATGAATCTTGGCTCATGCCGAATAGTATATTGGAATACATTCAGAGAAGTATGGCGCGTTGCACGATGGAGCTCGTCGCCTTGCGATTTAACTTTTTTCGTTGATGGCGAGTGGTCATCCCACAAAAGGATCGAAGGTTTCGTGTCATGAGCCCGAAAAAGCCCCAAGGGTAATGGCGCAGACTTTGGGTAGTTGGTTTGACGTCTTCTTCATCTTGCGAGAAGCATGGCCTGAGGTTGTATTTTGTAACACATGCGGAAGCACTGGTTTGACATTGCTATGGCTATTCTTATACTGACGATCTCCTCACGGTTCACATTCCATACACTGTTGTACAAGCACAGTAATATCTCGGTTAGTACTTTGTACATTACGAGGCACCAATTCCCTCTCCGACAGGGCAGTTTGGTACATTGGCCTGCCAGGCGATCTTAGCATAGGCTGGTAGGTAGCTGTTGGTAGTAAAGCTTTTGTCCATGTAGTACGATACCTGACTGAGCGAGAAGTCTCCCCCAACATCTGGCTGATTTAGAGCGTTGACAATGTAGCTGGCAATGAAATCCAAGAACACAAGATCAACGGTCTTTGGCATGGATCCATCAAGCGGAAAAGAGCCATTCGCCTGAAGGTCGTTGGGTTGCGAGTAGTCTGGGATAGCCGAGTGTATTGTATCATCTCCATCGGTACCGAAGTCGTCCTTTGTCGTATAACCTGGATTAGGAGCAGTAGATTGGCGGCGGATAAGACGTCCACCTTGCTTCGATCGGCGGGTAACCCCTTCGTAGTGGTGAGTGAGCGGCGGATCGAGGCAGGTGTCTCGGTCTGCGAGAATGGGGCTGAATCCAAAGTCGGCGGTCTCAAGATCCCGCTTCTTCTTCTGGAAGGCACCAGCATTCAGTATACCAAGCACCTGAGAAGCCTGCTCGTAGGGTACATCGGGGATGAACTGGAAGGCATCATCGAAGGGAGATACAATGAAGGAATCATCGTATGTAAAGGGACCTTTAGCAAGGTCAAAGCGAACAGATCCAGTGTTGATAACGATGAGTCTTGGAACATCCTTGCGCGTTTCGTTCACGACGACTGTAGCCAATGCAGTCTGTAGCAGTCCAAAGATGTTACCTTTGGCCAGGAAAGGCTTGCAGTACTGGCAGTATGTCTCTGGTGCGCAACTATCCAAGATTTAGTCCATATCTTATATCGTGCGAATAGTCAATGCACATACCCGTACAAATCGGTCAAATTGAGCTTGCTTCGGTCTGAAGTGATCTTGGCACTGATGCTAGTGCCAGCAGATGTGTCAAATGTGGTATAGGGTTGACTGTTCTCAGCATGATAAGCGAACGTGTTACGGTTCCAGTCAAGATATCGCCGAGCGTAGCGGATTGTGGAGTTTGAAGAAGATGTAGGCAGATGCGCACTGGCAGATGCAGTCCCTGTACTCGCTGGTACTACCGCGCTACGAGTAGGATTTGGTACACCCTTGGGGTTATGTTGTGCTTTGCAGGTCTTCGATTCGATACCGGACATAGCGAGCCAACCTAGAGTTTCACAGTAACGACCTGAAATGATGTTAGATAAGTACATCAGAACTTGTCACACGTTCCTACCAGACTCAAGTCCCGTAGCTTTGTTGTCGTATACAGCAAAGTCTCGGATATGCGTGTGTCCACCGAAAGCTTGAATAGGCACGTCTGGTTTGATGCTGCGAATAGCCTTGAAGACAGTGCCCATCGTGCTGCTGGAGACACTTGTCCGTACCGGGTTGTGACCAGTGATCACGAACAGATCAATCGGCTCGGTGTAATTCACGGCTTGTTGAAACCACGGTTGCTTCACCATGTCGGCTGCCTTGATAACCTTGGAGACGTTGCTGTTGCCAGTGAAGTCAAAGAGAACACCAAAAGCCATGATTCGGAGCCCTGTCTATATCAGCATTTGGCCACTCTCGGAGACGTTCAAATTACCCTGTTCGGTGGTGAAGTAACGGTAACGAGATCCGATGTACTCGAACTGGCCAGTAGCTGGGTTGATGATCTGTACATTGCTGGTGAGATACTTGTCTCCGTAGACCTTGGAGAAGTTGCTGAAGGTCTCGTAGGCGATCTCGGTAACATAGAGCTCGTGGTTTCCAATGGTCAACAAGTCGTAGTCGACATTTTCGAAGATAACATTCGAGACGTTGCCATTGGGAGATGTTGCATCACTCAATCCTGCACCGTCGTGCAGGTCCTGTCGTATGTTAGTGGAATTGCTATATTTCTCAACCACGTGCGTGGCCCTGATCGTCCCCAGGGCAACATGAGAAACACTAACCCCTGTGTCTACAAGAAGCAGGTCGACTCCGAGACTCCGAGCTTTCTGCTTCATGTGCTTAGTGAAGCTAACGTAGTCACCCCAGTCCGCACCATAATTCTGCTCCTTGATATGACCTTCAAGCCATCCATGGGTGTCGGTAGTATGCATAAAATTGATTTGACCCCATTCGAGAGGCGCCTTGGGTGTTGTGGTCGCGTTCTGCGCGTCCGGTTGCATCCGTCGAACGTTTCTGGTCAGGACGACATCGTCTTTCAACGGTCCGTAGCAGCTGTGATGGCCTTCGCAGGCCAATACAGGCGCTACTATGGAGACGAAAGCGCCAAAGGCAAAAGACCGCATTGTCAAGATAGAGTGAATGGCAGTGCGCGGCAGTAAGCAAGTAGGCTGTCGTCTTCTTATACAACCTTGACGGCAGGTACGCGAATGTAGATCGCGTCGGCTGCGCCACCCACGCCGTCAGACAAGCATGAACGCAGGGGCGGAAGCGGCAAGATCGCACGTGTGACTGTCATTGGAGAAAAAGATAAGCTTTTGGAGCTTGCCGTTGACAAGTCTTCGATGCCGGATGCCAAAAAGCTTGATGTGGGCTTTCTCCTGCCTGTTGAGTGACAAGCGCGTTGATTAGCGTTCCGAGGACCGGGACGTGTCATCGCACCTCTCCGATAGTTCTCTTCAGCCATCTCCCGTATCTCTACACCACTATTCGCCAACCCGTGTTCATCAATGCGTTCAGGATTCGACTCATTTTACAGTGATTCTGGGAAGCTCCTCACCCTTGACGATTACTCAACTTGATCAGTGCGTGTAGCACATCCTAGTTTCAGGTATCTTGGGTGTCTTACTGGAACGTGAAAGATTATCCTCTTCATGGACAACTTTTTGCCTCAGCTCTTGCCTTCGATTGTTTCTGTAGTTACTAGTGATTTGATAGTATGGGATGAATTTCAGCAACATGTACCATATTTCGAGAGCAAGTTTTATTCAATGCAGACGCACGCCTCGGTGTACCGCTCTTACAAGTTATTCCCGGCCGTCAACTATACCTGAGGTTTCATGTCCTAGCAACATCATTCAACATCAGGAACATAAACACACCCGCCGGCGCGATTTGCACCTCGTCTTCAGTAGTTGCAAGTGACCATCGGAGCTGCATACATATTAGTGACTTTGCAACACAAGATGATCATACATTAGCCACAACATAGCCAACCATCGACTAAAACGTACTCCAAGCCTTCCAATTTTGGCCATGCTTACAACTGAATGAATGAATGAATGAATTTGGCTTTACGCCCTATTTGTAACCTCCCTGGGGGTATTCGGGCGGGATCAGCCTGGGACTTATGCGGTGACGCGCTACCCAGTGATCCTGTTCGGATGAAATTATATACAATCTTGGGTTGAGACTCCTCCGTGTGAGTGACGATCCCTGGTGCTTACAACTGTACCCTTCGTGATACTTCTTTTGTCAACTTTGCAGTCATGGCCAATCCCAGGCCTAACCCTTGCAAAAGAGCTACCAACAAACCAGCTCAACCAAGGCCTCATGTCAGCTCTATCTGGTAGTAAAGCTTGCCACGCTTGGATATCATTATCGACTACAGCCACCGCCCTGCTCTTTGTTCTGCACCTATACAAGAAAAAAAAACTAGACAGGTACAGAGATAACAAGCTCTAATTTATAGCCTATATCATCTCCTAACAAGAAAACCTGCAAAAATTAATAGTATAGTAGTCTTCTAGATTCTCTGTTTATATTAAAACAGCTCTCAATATGCCTTGTTGCAATACGAAGGAGTACTCCTATTAGAAGGGATGTTTACATTTCCTATTTGATACAGTGCTGCAAGCAAGTGTTCATGGAGGCATCGCAAAACTTCAGGGAAGCCAAGCACCAGGAGATGCTTCTCAAAGTTGATCATCAGGACGGTCCGGAGGCACTTTTCCAGTTCGCGTACGAGATCTACACAACGGTAGTAGATGGTCCAACCGAGGCTGCACTTGAGATACGGGTCTATCAACGACTTTGTGTACCCGCGAGATTTTGCCTGCGAAGTGAGACGTTGCTAGAGATAGCAGCACTGCGTGATGGATGACATGGAGTGAAAGTGAAGTTGGTCGAAGATTCTCGATGACGAAGTGTGGTCCGAACGCGACATGCCACTTCAGCCCCGCAATCGTACTAAACACCGTGCAGCCTCGAGTAGCAACACAAGCACCGACCTGTAGCACACGACCCAGATCTCAGCCAAGATGGTGATCAACTACAGCAAATGGGTGAGTCATGCGCTTCTGTGATTCCGCGGCAGCAGCTTCTGACATCGCATCAGGACGCCCTGGAGCTCTCTGACGACAGCGACATCGAAGTACACCCCAACGTGGACAAAAAGTCCTTCATTCGCGCAAAGCAAGCCCAAATACACCAGGAACGCGACCATCGCCGCCACCAAATACGCACCCTCAAGTACGAGCGCATCATCAACGATGGCCTCACCGAACGCGTCGACCGTCTCCTCACCGCGCTCAAGTCGCACAAGGACAAGCAGGCCGAGGGAAATGGCGCAAATGACGACCAGCTCGTCTTCCAGGCCATGATGGAGAGCATGATGGACATGAAGATCGACAAGGACGGCGGCTCAGATCGGCCGCCACCACCACCAGAGGGCGTTCACGAGCATATCAAGGACAAGCCCACGTACCCACAGATGATGGCGAGTCTGGTAGACGCGGTCAAGAAGGACATTGACGAGCAGAAGAGCGACGAGCCACGGTACACACTGTTCATACAAGGGTTGGAAAAGGAGAAGGCGCGCATACAAGATCTCCAGAGTCAACTGCTGGCAAAGCTGGACGAGCTGGAGAAGGAGGACAAGAAGCACATTACTAGCGATGACATCCACGAGGGCTTCAGCTACTCCAACGTCAAGAAGGCTGAAGAAGAGCAGAAGAAGAAGGCCGCCGCGTCGTCTTCGACAGTAGCGAAGAAGGCGCCCACAGTCGAACTGCTTAACAACCCGCAACGGCCCGCAGCCACCCGGACAGACACAGGTCAATCATCGGGCGCAGATGGCGACATCGAAGAGGGAAGCGTCGTTGAAGCCTCCCCCGAAGATGACGACGACGACATCACCGCCTCACCCCTCGCGCAGCAATTTGCAAAGATAAAAGTCGGAGACTGGTATGCATGCCTACAATTCCTGATGGCGCACCCAGAGATCCTGGCCGAAAAAGAGACCGACGGACTCCTCGTCGAAGCCTTCAATTCCGAACTCGATGGCAAGCCAAAACACGCTAGACAATGCGTGCATCAAGGTCTTCTACTGCAGTACTGCCGTCAACTTGGTGGCCGGCAAGGCGTGGAGCTCTTCTTTAAGCGCATACAAACGAAAGACCACCAGGCCGGCAAGATGTTCAACGACGATGTGGATTCTACATACCACCGTATCAAGACACGCGCTGCTGAGATCCTGAAAGAACGCGCTGAGAACCCACAATCGGAAGGCGCAGGTGTAGAGCAGATCCAACTCCACGCCGTAGACCCCAACACGCAAATCAACATTTCTGTTCCGCCCAAGGAGTCGGTTGCTACAGACCCCCAAGAAAAAGAGGCAGAAGAGCAAGCAAGGCAGATCTTCGAAAGCTTCCCACCAGGATTGCAGCGAGCGCTTGAGAGCGGGAAACTGGACGAGGTAAACAAGGTGCTAGCCAAGATGAGTGTGGATGAGGCGGAAGAGGTGGTAGAGAAGCTGGGTCAGGGTGGCATGCTGAGCCTCGAGGAGGGCGTTATTGACGCAACTACCGAGGAGGGTCAGCAGATTATGGGCGAGATTGAGAAGAACAGGAAGATGCCAGGACAGGCGTGAGATGCGCGCCTATTGACGGCTTGCGATGCTAGAATGAATTATGACGACGGACATATGGGGTAGCATGAATGCTGTAATTGTACATTATGATGGATCCTGGTATCTTTGAATAACAATTTTCGACATGGCCATGTGCTCTGAGCTACATGTGTGCGCCTTTTGACTTTTCCCCTATAGCTATCCGTACGTCTAATTTGTTGCCTCCGATATGCTTACAAACAACCAACTCCTCTGGCCATGCTGAGACAACAGCTTTCCTAAATCAGCTCGGCAAAGTTGTCGTCAATACCGGCCATGTCTCGGTCGCCAGCGAATGCGGCAAAGTCATCGTCCGCATTCCTGCTCATCTTCCTCTTCTTGTGCGCATTCTCATACGCTTGCTGGCCATAGACACCACCTTCGGCACCTGGTCGCGCGTGTTGCAGGCTCTTGAGGAGGTCTGCGGCTGGGTGCTGGTTCGGCTCGCCAATTGCGGTTGCATACTCTGGCTGGGTTGTGTGATGCGCGGGCGCAGGGGCAGTCTCTGGCACGACAGGGTGAGCAACGGGTTGAGGCATTTCGTCGTCGCGGATGGCCGGTACGGGGTCGTTTCTGGGTGCGGGGGCTTGCTGGGGGGATCCAACAGGCGTGAAGGACTCCATAGGCGGAGGAGTGAGTTCCTCGACTTCAGGGCGTTCCTGCGCAGCTGAGAAGGTAGCAGCGACCGGCGAGGTCGTAGCAACTGGAAGAGGCGCAGTCGAGATCCTATTCTGCTCTGCCGCTGACAAGCCCTTGAGGATGGCTTCTTCGACGGCGCGCTTTCGGCTTTCTATAGCGTCTTTGCGCGTCTTCAGGTCAGCCTCCTGTGCCTCCTCGTCAACCAGTTTCCTCTTGTTCGTCTCGAGGAGTTGCTCAAGGCCGGTGATCAGGGCCTTGCGTGCCTTGATGCTCTCAGCGACAGCACCTTCGGCCAGCGCAAGCTTCTTACAGAGCGCAGCGAGCCCTGCAGCGTGCATGGGCGGGGATGGAATCGCAGCGTTCGGGTTGGTGAGCTTCTCATAGTCCTGGTTGGCGGCGGTGACGGCGGGTTTTGTCGCGAGGTCGGCTTTCTGGAGGGTGGTGGCCAGCGGCGCGACAGGCGTGAGTTCAGGCGGAACTGTCGAGCTGGAGAAGAGCGATCCGCCAAGAGCAGGTTTGCGCGTAGACTTGGTGCGATCAACGTCGTCTATTGACCTCTCTACTGCCTGCTGTACAGCCTGGTTGAAGATATTGCGCTGCCTCCAAACCTCGACTACTCTCCGAATCTTGTTCTGTATCTCGTGGGGGGAGCCTTTGTAGGCTACTGTCGTCCCTTCGGCCAGGATGGGCTCGTATGCGCGCAAAAACTCCTCCTTCTTGCGCATCTTGGAGGTTTGCGTGATTTCGTTGGCGAGATAGATGAGAACCAGCTTCTTGTTTGGCGGCACCTCTTTCATACGTTGGAGCCATACTTGGGCGATGCGCTCGGCATGTCGTCTGTACACGTGCGGTTAGCATAAGTCCGTCGCGTGAAGCACATGGATGCAGACAAAGTGATTGCGCCAACCTCACAATGTGGTCTTGGCAGAAGATGGAAGGCTTTACCTGTGAAAGAGGATCCATTGACCAACGGTGGAGATGGCGTCCTGCGTCTCATTGAGCGATGAGAGCTTTGCCTTGAGGCTGTCCTCGGTGAAAGCCATGATTAGAGTCTTCACGAATAAAAGCTGCAGCCAGCTACTGAAAGACGGCGCGCACGCGACTAGTACGACAGTTAAGTTGCGGCGATGCAAGTGATGGCAGCAGTGTTGATGAAGCCTTCAGCGTGCGATATATGCTTTGCGAGTGCTCGCGACTACAGTGATGACGTGTGTTGGGGATGGGAATGGAAGAGAGAGCTGGAGGTGAGGGAAGCTCTTGACGCTAAGTGGTATGCGGCTAAACGTGGCTCGGTCGCGCCAAGCAGCTCCCTGGCCGTGACGGACGGTAACTGTGCCTGACGCAACAACAAGACACCTGTACGCAATCCACTGTCGCCAATTCTGTATTCTCCCCTCTCACGATACCCACCGCACACACCACCCTCACAATGGCCGACCGATTTCCTTCGTTAGACGAGATTGATGCTGGTGAGCTCAGCCATTGAACCCCCGAAGCAGCTCCGCATCCAATGCTAAACCTCGCAGGCCAGACTGAAGCGCGCGGCGATGCAGCAGACTTCGACATTGCCGGCGATGACAACGATGCCAGCAACTTTCTGGACCGTGAACGCGCTCTCCTCGGAGACGATGCCGACCAGTTTGCCTCAGAAAACGACCGGGCCGCGACGGTTGAGGATGGCGACGATGACCTGCTTGGGGGAGACTTCAGCCAGGCCAACGTGGGCGGCCAGGAGATGAGCGGCTTCGAGAGCTCTTTCCCCGCCATCGACACGACCAACGATGTAAGCACCGTCTGCTTCCCTGACAGCAGCCCGCGAAAGGATGCGATCTGGCATGTTCGATGTACAATTACTCCCTCTGCCAGCTGGGATCTGACTGACCATGGAACAACCATATTCTGGCGCAACCTACTGACTTCAGCAGCACATGGCTCCCGGCGGCACCATCACAGGCTCCAGCTTGCCCTTCCTCCCCGGTCAACCAGCCCCATCCTTCACCCCACAGCGATCAGACTCACCCGAACCCGACGTCATTCGGGAATGGCGCGAGCGCCGCGACCTCCAGATCCAGCACCGCGACGAGGTTTCCCACGAGCGCAAAGAGAGGACGATCAAGGAGGCCCAGCAGAACATTGACGACTTTTACGAGAACTACAACAACAAGAAGGACAAGGAGATTGCCAAGACACGAAAGGAGGCTGAGGAGTTCCTCGCAAACCGCGACGACACCACTGCAGGCGGCACCAGCTGGGAGCGCATCGCCAAGTTGGTTGATCTGAGTGGAAAGGGCACCAAGGGCGGCGCATCAGGTAGCGAAAAGGCCCGATTCCGAGAACTACTGCTCAGCTTGAAGAAAGATGAGAAGGCACCGGGTGCCACTGGATATTAGAGAAATCACGACATGGGTAGATGGCGATCTTTTTTTGGAGCTCAGGGCATGGTGTTGGCATACTCCAACGTCTGCGGCCATAACTCGGAGTTCATGGATAGGTTGCAGGTTACTTCATGCAGCTGTGTTAATACTTACTCTCTGATGCCTATGGATGCTTCTGCATTTCATTCATGAGTATGAGCCAAAGACTGTGTTCAGTGATGTCATGCAAACATTGCATCTGCTAATGTGCTACATAGTCACCGAAGCCTTGGTCGCACGAGTATGATAGTCAGCTGCCTTATGAGCCCAACGCAACTCTCGACACTGTTACTTATATACTTAACGCAGCACCGAGTGTCTGACCTCACATTGACCATGCACATAAATTTGTGACTTTCATCGGATTCCTTCGCCCACACCTTCTAGCCAAAGCCAAGATCTTGTCCAGCGCATCGCAATCTAACATGGCGTCCGCTCCAAACCCTATCCCCAACCCCCCGGGCCGCATCGCAGCAATCCCGCAGCAATCCAAGGCGTTCGGCATTCAGGTAGTGGCATCGTGACACAATGTCGACCGGCAACCCGGCTTTCTCTATATAACATACAAATTAATTTCTCCGACGACGCAGGATAACCCGGTAGCGACATCCGCAATCACGTGTATGCCATCTCTAATCTGAGACAACGACCAAGCATCTACTCATGTCCACCAATCGTGAATCGCAAGCGTCGTTGACATGTTTTGCACGCCATGTTTCAAAGACGGTCGAGACTCCACTCTAGTTCGTCCGCAACCGCCGCCCTGTGGCGTATCGCCCTTGATTCTGTTTCCTCGCAAAAAGCATGTTTGCTTGGACTCGATAAATATGACGTCTGACAAGAGACTCTACTACCAACACTCATCTCGCTTACTTCCAACGTGTTCCTTTACGGGGACAACGGCTAGATCAAGCCTCAAAGGGGAACTGTGGAGTCACCAAGACCACCATGTGTCGCTAGCGTGCCGTGATTAATCTACGCACCCTCCTTCATGATCGCCCTCCAGCATGCATCGCCATGGCAAGTTTCAAACATTTTACAATCCTGTGTGACGCACAGCAGCCCTGTGTCGTGGAGTAATTACCACCGAGCAAACCATGTGTACTATAAGAGCTGCAACCTCGAGCAATCTATTCCGGCATCCAGGTCACTCAGTACCGATCGCATTGCATCCATTCACTCTTTTGTTCCAACTTAAAAAGTCCTTCACTTCTTCGGCTTATACCACGCTCATTACGCAGGATCGTATCTTCAACACACTTTCACTTCTCTCTTCAAGTCCTTCGAATCGAACGTTTCCACCATGAAGTACATCACCTCCGCCCTCGCTTTCGCTACTGCCGTTGCAGCTCACGGCTATGTCAACAACGCTACCATCGGTGGCAAGGAATACGTCTTCTACCAGCCTTACCAGGACCCTTACATGACCGACGTGAAGCGTATCTCGCGTCCCATCCAGGGCAACGGACCTGTTGAGGACGTTGCCATCTCTGATATCCAATGCGGTGGTTACGCTGCTGGTGGTATCAACGGCTCCAAGCCTGCTGCCCTGCATGCTGAGGCTGCCGCTGGTTCTGATGTTGAGCTCTTCTGGACGCTATGGCCTGAGAGCCATATGGGTCCTACCATCACATACATGGCCAAGTGCCCCGACACTGGCTGTAACGACTGGATGCCCGAGTCTGCGTAAGTGACACTCTCTTTCGTCCAACTTTCGTCGTGCTAACGTTGTGACAGTGCTGTCTGGTTCAAGGTCCAGGAAGATGGCCGTCAAGGCACTTCAGATGTCTGGGGCTCCGACGCTCTCCAGGTTCCTGGCGGTTCCGTCACCTACACTATCCCCAAGTGCATTGCCCCTGGCTACTACCTCGTTCGCCACGAAATTGTTGCGCTACATGCCGCGTACCAGTACCCTGGTGCCCAATTCTACCCTGGTTGCCATCAGCTCAAGGTCACTGGTGGTGGAAGCACAAAGCCCAGTGGTCTTGTTTCCTTCCCCGGCGCCTACAAGGGCTCTGACGCTGGCATCACTTACGATGCCTACAAGGCCTCCACCTACACCATCCCTGGCCCAAAGAAGTTCACCTGCTAGACGGGTGACTCGCTGATCAGTATCCCTGAGATGAAACACACTTCACTGTAAATATTCGCAATCGTATATAGTCCTTGCATTGACATGAATGGATCTTTGCAACATCTCAAACAGTCTTGTCTCTGTCAGCTTCGCGCCCGTATTATACTTCGCACACATGATCCTCAATGTTCACCAGACGATCTCGATACACTGGCCTAGTAGAGCTTGTCGCGCTGGCAACCTCGTTGATGTGCGCTTGCTCGATGCGCTGGGAACGAAGCGTCACACTACGACTCTCATCCTGCAAGGTGTGTTGAATTCCAGGAAATCGACAGGACCCTAACGAGCGTACCGAACATGCGTCTATCATGACGGGTATATCATCACTGCTGTACCAATGTCGCCGTCCTGGATGTCGAAGTGGTTTTCCTATCTTGAACTTGTGTTCCGCGGACGACTCGTAATTATTCCTTTTTCTTTACAAGCGATAGCTCTCCCAACCTCGGTCGGAGACACGCTCGCGTATCTACTTCACATGCCTCTGGGAGGCCAACTGGCATTGTCGTCTTACTTTCGGATATCTCACTCCGCGGAGGCAGGTCGTTTCCTTTTAACCTAGGTGTGGACGCAGATTTCTGGTCAGATGTACAACCATCTCGGGCCTTCTTTGTTTCCTTTTCTATGCTTTGAAGCGTCCTGAACCTCCATTCCGCCGTTTATCCGCTGTCTTACGTGTTCAGTCCTGATTCGCATTGGGTTATCTGCTTTCGAATCATCTTGGTTGCACATCTTTCTCAGAAGCGTGTACCGGATAGGATATGGTCACGCTCGCCACGGTACAGACGGACGCAAAGCCTATTTGAGCCAGCAATACAAGGTACCCTTGGATTGGTTGCTTCGTTTTGGTTCTGCGTTGTCGATATCGGCTGTACTATGGATTCGAGGGTGTGGGCGAAAGCTGTTGTAGATGACTCAAATCGGTAGCGCCTTGTACGATCGGTGAGTTCTGATCAGCGCTATGTGCTGTCGTCTCTGTAGGCTTGCATGAAGATTAGGCAAACCTCAGATCCAGATTGATGGTGTTGAACGAGGCTAGCATCCTTCTGGAGCATGTAGGAAAGAGCGCCGCTATCCGGTCAGTCCAAGCAGGAATTATTCAAGTTACTATATTAGAAATTGTACACCGTATGGGAGTAGAAGCTGCCCAGTGTGGGCTTGCGCCAGTTTAGATGCCAGGCTGATCGCCGGCCTAACGGACGGGTCCGCACATGGCTTCGGCGCTATTGTGAAACCGCTGAAGGGAAGAGGTATCTTCTAGAAGGGACGCCAGATTCGCTCTGAGAAGCAGGGCGAGTCAGTATACGGCCGGACGAAAGGCGCGCTGCTTGCGCATGATGCAGGAACACCTCTGACGTCTGTTCTTGTTACCATCGGCGGTGCTTCGAAAGGGCAATTGCTAATGCGATTGCGGTTGGAATCGCGGTCAATATGATGTGAACAGCAAGTGGTAGCATGAGGACTGGCGCTGCAGCTAGCAATGCGATGATGCCCACAGTGGGCCCCTAAACATCGGCTCTGCTCCTTCCCCGGCTCACATCTGCGCCGTACCAGGCTAACCACTGAATGCTAACACGACCGACAGCCCGACACAGGATGACGATGTGCAACCGTTTCTTCGATGAGGCAGCTGCAAGCGATATCGGTATATCCCATGGCGAAATCCTAGGCGGATCTTCATCTTACGGCGCATCATCGTCTTCCGTCGCAACCGTGAGCGCTTGACAAAGGTTAAAGACCAAGGTTTTCTGACGATTCGCCCAACGGCTCTGCTTCGTGCTGTACTCCGTGTCAGGCGGACTTACTCGAGCAGGAGGACCCTGGAATAGGTCCACGGATCAATAGCCGCGAGCTTCCACCGCTCTTTCGGATCTTGCCAACATTTCAAGACGTCTAGCGAGTATCTGGTGTCCTGGCCTGGGTACAATCATCATGATCACCTGGCCATGTGCATACTTAGGGCGATATTGCGGATCCATCCTTCATCGTGGCTGGTTGCAGCAGAGACGATCCGTGCTGCTGTTCAGAACGGACCCTCGAATATTTGTGGCGCGCATGAAGGCGTGCGACTAACCACAGTTTGCGAAGTAGGAGAGGCCCAGCGTAATGGTAATCAAAAGCAAATCTCCGTTGACGATCTCGCTGGGTTCGTGTTACATGTGCATTGGTTGTTACAGGCAAGACGCGTGTGTGCCGCATCGCAAGCATGTGTCGCTTATGCTACTCGTCTAGGAAACGTTACACAGCGAGGATTTCTACGATAAGCTTTCAACGAGACTTTTACCTTCAAAGTAAATCGTCGAGTGTACAGAACAACCAAGGAATACCGGCCAGCGTTTCAGGCGAAAGTCAGGGATCAAGGCTACGGATGAGAGCTCCCGTCGCGGTTCATGGAGCGACTCCGAAGTCTAGGTTCCGCAAGAGCCCAGCCAGAGGCTTACAAAATTTCTTGATATCATCCTCATTAGGTACGCTCCTCGGCCAGCGTCAATCGTATCATAACAGCCGCGCTGGCCAATGAACTTCTTCGTCTTCACCGCTTAAATGAAGATTTCTTACGAACAGCCAGGGGGAACCGGTTACAGGCAGACCGTAGTAACGCCCGAGTCGTACCGCTCGTGAGCTCACGCAAGACAAGCCGCACTTCCACGGGCTGCGTCATAGCTTCTGAAGAACGTGTTAGACCGCGGCAGTTTCCTGCCCGGACATTAAGGAAGAAATCGGTGTGGGCGAGCGCGTTGAGTAATCTACCTTGGTACTGTGTTTCGCGACACCAAGTCGAGAAATCACAGCAAGCTACCAAAAGAATCACCCACGCCGCTTTGACAGGCGTCACAAGCGTCTCATGAGGTGGGCTACACATTGTTCCCAGGGCTGAGTATACCCCAGTCAGAAATGCGAGGTAAACGGCCCGCCACTTTGGGTCGCCGAAGCGGCACCACTCTTCTTGGCTCGAGCACGCTACTTCCTTCAAACGTTCGGCACCAGTCTTCGTGCGCAAATGACAGTACCGTAAACCCACAATCGCTTCAGCGACTCCAGGATCTGCCCGTCTGTGGAAAGAAGCTGATTGCATGCTATTCGCTGCATTTTCGCACCCTGTCGTCCCACTCCTTACTTGCCTTTTCCCACGTTCACGCCTGGAGCACCACACTCTGCACGTGTCATCATGGCAAATGCTCTGAAATTATTACCCTGACTGTAGGTTGCATTTCGCAAATTGATGCTACTGGATCGTTTTTGGCACCGTTCTCTGCATGGTTGGTTTCACAGAGCCAGGACATCATATAACCCACTACACGCCTCCCATGTTTCTACTACCATTCACCCGACCACCCACCCTTTCCACTTCGAGTATCAACTCCCCGGTAGCTGGGTTTGTGGGTCTACGCCGTGGCTGTCAATCCTCCTAGTGTGTCTCCGCCTACGGCCCACCGTCTTTTACACCCTTCTAAATTCCTTCTACGCTTCCGCCGCCGAGACCCTTCTTGTTTCTCTTCAACCCTCTCATGCTTAGCTGTTGATTATTGACCATGGGTTTCAATCCAGACTCCAAAGAACTAGGATCGAGCGCGCCGCGCGTTGGAGAAAGAGCGCTCCAATCTACCACCTCCAATCAGTCGAAAGCGGCAGGAAACAATCAAAATCAAAGCATCATGGCCACAATCGCAGATGACGACGACAGGCTACTGGTACGCATTGGATACACTCCAGTAAGTGCTCCAAGCCTTCCACTCAGGCATCTTCCAACAGTGTACAGGTGCTACAAAGACATTTCTCAAGATGGTCTACTGTTTCATATGCCATCTCAATTCTAGGTGTATTGGGCTCGGTACCTGCAACCTTCGGTGCCCCGATGAGTTCAGGCGGACCAGCGACAGCAGTATGGGCCTGGTTCATTGGCAGTGTCATGGCATACTGCATAGCCAGTTCAGGTATGTTGGACAGAGCCCCGAAGGAACCTTAGCTAAGTTTTCATCAAGTTGCCGAATTGATATCCGCATACCCAACCGCTGGAGGAATGTACTATGTCACAAAACATGTTGTACCACCTGAGCACGTCGCAGCCTGGGCGTGGATCATTGGGTGGTGCAACTTCCTTGGTCAAGCAGCTGGCGTGGCAAGTCTGGCATACACAATCTCTCAGATGATACTGGCGACCGCCGTCATGCATACCCTAGACAATGGGGAAGCTGCCTTTGAGCCGTGAGACATACCCCGCTTGTACGACCTGCAGCAGCTTACCGATCAATACAGGCAAGCATATCAGACTGTCCTTCTCGCCATCTTCGTATTGTGCATGTTTGGCACAATCTGCTCGTTCCCCACGAACTGGCTACATCGCATCATTTTATGGTTTGCACCTATCAACAGTAAGTGGACTGGAAAGCTAGTCTCGGCACAGTCTGACAATAAGTAGTCATTGCATCAATCTGCATCTGCATCGCTCTTCTCATCCTCACACCGAACAAACAAAGCCCGCAATGGGTGTTTACGACAGTAATGGACGGCTCGGGTTGGGGAAGCAAAGGATTTTCCTTCCTTCTCGGGTATGCCTAACCAATGCATGTGTGCAGACACGTCACTAACCATACACAGTTTCCTCTCTGTTGCATGGACAATGACAGACTACGACGGCACAACACAGTAGGTCAGCCCTACAATCCTGCGTATCAGCCAATCTAATCAGTGTCACACAGCATGTCGGAAGAGACGCACGATGCCGCTATTCGTGGCCCTGTAGCGATCCGAGCGGCGATCCTCGTGTCCGGTGTCGTAGGATGGATGCTAACAGTCACCTTTTGCTTCTGCATGTCAGACTACGACGAGATTATGGCGACACCGACTGGTCTTCCCGTCGCCCAGATCTTCTTTAATGCCGGTGGCAGAACAGGTGGAACCATCATGTGGTTCTTCGTCATGTTGGTCCAATTCTTCACCGGCTGTTCTGCCATGTTGGCCAACGCGAGAATGGCTTGGGCCTTTTCCCGCGATGCAGCCTTCCCATTCTCGGGGTAAGTGACCGCCCCCAATCGGCGCTATTATATCGGAGCTGACTATGCATAGTTTCTGGAGTAAGGTCAATTCGTACACAGGCACCCCGGTCAATGCAGTATGGCTGGTTGTCATCTTCTGCAGCTGTCTTGACTTAATCGGAATCGGAAGCACCCTCACCATCACGGCTATTTTCAACATCACAGCACCTGCTCTGGACATCAGTTACATCGCAGTCATCATCGCACACCGATGGTATGAAAACACCGTCATCTTCCATCCTGGACCATACACAATGGGTAGATGGAGCAAGCCGGTCAACGCGATCGCAGTGACATGGGTCATCTTCATTAGTGTTGTGCTGTTCTTCCCAACTGTGAAGCCAGTCAGAGCCGACAACATGAATTACGCTATCTGCGTGGCAGCCTTCATTGGCTTGTTCAGCACGGTCTGGTGGTACGCCGGTGCAAGGAAGAAGTACACTGGCCCACGCACAAGCGATACCATCGACATGCTTCCACCAGAGGACCCAGAGGACATTCTCAGCGACTACGACACCGTTTAGTGGACGAGTCCACGTCACACTCGCCTATCCCTACTAGAGGCGCATCGCCAAATCGAAACATAACGACTTTAACGACATCTGAAAATACTGATAGACGGGTTTGATTTTCCGGGCGTTTATACTGAGGTGGACAATCCTTCGTTCTTTAGCGTTGCCCACTCTTTGGGTTGCATTTTACTTTCATCGTTTCTCATGAGCATTCGGAGTCACCACTTAGAAGGAAAGACATCAGGGGGCAAACCCATTCACTTGAGCAAAGTACCCATAGATCGGATGATACCCCCAAAGAAGCCACCCACGTACTCAATAGCAAACCTACGCGAATGTTCTTATCACTTAGCGCAATGTACTTCATTAATACCATTCATTCCATATTCAGAAACCTTCTCTCATCCACTGAGTACGAAGGTCACCGCGTGAGTATCAATGGTCACAACCCTCTTCCACTAGCGTGCATGTGTATGCAATGCAGGTCATATCTGGCCCGCGGATCCGCAATTAGTTCCACACCACCAATCGTAGTAACTCCACTGTCCTTTCTTTTTATCTATTCTCTGCATTGATTGATCGGTGATGTGGGAGCCATGTGAGTGCGGTTCGCCTGCTTACGTGACCCCCATGCTGCAAGGCTTTCATGCTCGCAATGCTAGCGATCCAATGACTAACTAGATGCGGATCACTTCGCACAATGTTTCCCTTTTGAATCTGTCTAGTGGGAGTAAACGATATAGTTTGTAATACTGGGAAGTAGCCGAGTGCCTCAGACGGCTATGAAGAGATACGTGGTTGCTAAGCTGTAGTCTCTTAGTCTGTCATCGGCCATTCGTACGCGTAGCACATGAAGGTGACATAGTTCTAGATGTGAGAACATCTATGTTCTCTTCTGTGTTACGGAAATGGATTTGGTTACAGTACAAACAACTTCCTTGTACATTGCAATGCTCCAACTCTTATAAACGATGATACCATAACGCATTCATGCCACTTACGAGAGAGCTTATTCCGCAGAAGACGACAAGTCCACCATATTCGCTTCCGTAAGCACCAATTGCATCCCCTTCCCAAGGCATCTGATCAACAAGCGCCTCGCTCAGAGGACCGGAGACGATGTTTCCAATCCCTCTACTAACACAAAACAGAGAGAATATCAGCATAGTATCTACATGACCGAGACCCCTTGCCTCCGCCTTCTCAGCTGTCTCTCTCATAACAGCCGGCCAAGCCGCGGGAAAGCCACCCCCGAACAATCCGAACAGTATGCAGAAGACGAAAAGGACAGCAACATGTACGGCCAAGCCCCAAAAAAGGAAGACAGAGAGAGTAGCACCCACAGCGGACATGGCAATGCATTTCCGGGAGTTTAACCGATCAGTCATATAGCCCATTATGACGAGCCCTATCATAGTAGACAAATTCAAGAGCATAAGCGAGAGAGTTGATAACCAATCCGAAGCGCCAAAGACGTGGCGGGTGAAGGTAGGTAGATAAATGCCAGGCAGATAGTAGCCAGCACCCTGAACGAGATTAGCAATTTGATGAAGGAGAAAAGATCGTGAGTGGAGAAGCCTCCAGTTCCAGAATGGCTTCTTTGTATCCGTGGCAGCTGGCGGTAGTCTGGGTCTCACAAAGTAAGCCAGTGGCATCCCAAGACCGAAAATCATACCAGCCAGGATACGCATGGTAGTCTGGAATCCCACTCTGGTAAGCAAGGCGTTGATAAGGAGAGGGAGGAGGAGACCTCCGAATCCGCTTCCACTGCCTATGATACCAAACGCCAGGCCCTTGCGCTTGTCAAACCACTGGTCTGCGAAGATGAGAAGAGGACAGAAAGCGACGCTTCCGCTGATGCCGAGGAGTATGCCCTGGGTGCCGATGAGCTGAGTTATACTGGTGCAAAAGGAGCTTGCTATGTTTGAGACGACACATCCGAGGAGACCTGCTGTTGCCATCCAGCGTGCCCAATGCGGTTTCCGGCGAGCGAGTTGAACGATGGGAAGCATGCTGATGAGGATGAGGCCTTGATTCAAAACGCCGATGACTGCGATATTATCAGAGCCCGAGAAGGGAGGCGTGGTGCTGTAGTGTTCTTGGAAACGGCCGTAGGAAAAAGAGAAGCCTGTATTTTGCGGGATTAGTATGAAAAGGTGCTGTGTGCTGGGATGGGCTCACCAACTGTTAGGACTTCGACAGTGAAGGCTGCGGCTAGAAAAAGCCAAGCATCTTTTCCTCTATCCATGGGTGGTAGACTCGATGTTACTTCGATCATGCTGTCTTTGGGATGCTCAATACTTTTCTCTTGAGAGCCCGACCTAACGGGCAGATGTTGGTCGTGCGGTTCGACGATCGTCGTCGCAGGCGTATTCTTGTTCGACTTCTTGAACATCTTTCCAGTAGCCAGTGTAAGTACAATATCAAGCGGAAGTAGACGAGGAAAAAATGGATGGATCATGCTTGATGACAGTCTGTCGGCTTACTCTCAGGATACTCTTGTATCAACAGATACAGTCTGCGTACATCAGAAGCAAGTGCACGCACGCCTTGCCTATCTACAGAGTCGCATCCAATCTGCACGCGCCTTACGCCCACACGCCTTGCGCCCATATTTGCATTTACCCCTCGGACGCATTCTGGTTCCCACGCCCTACGCATCTGCACGTTACTCTTGGCAACCGTTCTACCGCCGTCTGGTACTCTACCTATCAGCCTTACAAAGTCCGCGGTACTGACTACTAGAGAGGAAAACCAAGAAGCTAAGCAAGATTGGACAAGTCTTCATAAGGACAGGGTCGAGTATGCACTTTATTTTGTCATGCAATGAAAGAGACTCGATTGCAAAAATGCTTCCACTTCAAGTTGCATACAGGGTTCTGATTTGCCTATAAACTTGTATTGATGCGTTTCAGTGGTAACTGAACAAGGGGGTATTCTAATAGCGCAACATGACTAAAAAAGGTAGATGGAGAAAAGGAAAAGGGTGTTGTAAAGAATGAAGATATCGACATGAAGTGGTACAAAGAACTTTTTGTTAGCCTTCCCGTCCTTCGTCGATAGTTGTTTTGGCGTTAATTTCGTTGCGTTATTACATCTTCCACCCGCTGGTGTTGCGAGGCGTGTCGTCTCCTGTCTCTGCACATGGCGTATGTATTCATGTGCGACTCCTTCACGGCATGAGTACATGGTGTGCTCCAGTACTGTGTGAGGTTTGTTTCGTCGCACGTTCTTCCTCAATCGGACTGTGATGCTGTTGTTTCTGTCGGCCTGACCGGGCGGGCAAACATTCGTCTATCATCGTCGACCATGTAGGAGCGCAATGAGCAGCTGAATCCGAGAGAATATTTACGATCGTCCTGTGCCCATACGGCCAAGCTCCTTTATCCGTATAGCAGGCATCTTGCTGAAGCGCTTGCTACTTGTGGTGGTGGATGAGTTTGCTGAAGAAGGCGATGAGGCATAGACATATTCGCCGTCGACGTATTGGGCTTCGCTGATAAAAGTAGTGCGTTTCTCACGGCGTGTGTAACGCTGTTCGAGGCGGTACAGCTCGAGGCCTAAGGTGGGCGGCTGTTAGTAAAGTGTCCCAAGGCGTAAAGGATTAGGGCCGGGAGGAGATAGGGCGAAGCGAGGTAAGACATACGAGCTTGCAGCTTCTCCATGAGACCCATTGTGTATTGTGTGGAATTTGTTGTGCCTTGTTATCCGCGCGCCGAGAGATATGGTGTTTGTCGAAGAAGGAATACCAAGGAGAGGCGTATTGTAGATATGGCACGGTTGTAATGTCGCAATGTGCTCGCCAGCCAGTTCCCTGTTGCGCTGTTGCAGATGCAGTATCGGATTGAGGTCAGACCAGGTGTTGATTTGTGTTATTCAGCGATGCGCTTCACTAATATAAGATTGTCGCTCAAAATAAGTGGGTGGGAGTATAGCTGGTAAACGAGTGTCGACGCAGTGCGGAGGGATAACGAGTGGTCAAAAAGGAACGGAATGGCTGGTAAAAGACGGATCAACGACAACGGTACGCAGTTCCAAGAGGAAGGAGGAACATCCCTCGGATAGGCTGTTGGGGCGGGACGACTGCTAGGCGTTCCAGGTTTCATGCACTGCCAGTTCTCGAACCCCAAGTTGCATAAATGTGGGCTAGTAAAGCCGAAAGCCAAAACATACCAGGCCTAGAGAAGCCATCGTGCCCGTGTTGCGGAATCGTGAGTCGTGGGCCGCTTTCGTGTGCTGTGCCTGTCTTGCCGACGTAGACATTGCTGTTGCGAGGTGCGGCGAGCTGTCACTTGGTGTCCTGGGCGTCTTACAAGTTCTCGCGTGCTGCGGAAATCTCTCCGAAACGCTCAAAACCCCCGACGCTCCCACTGTTCGCATCCCAAGGTTTCGTGGCTCCCGAGTCAGCTCTCACGTGGGAATCAGGGGTCTTGGGCGAGGCCCCAGACGTGCCGACCGCCACCGCCTTGGCAGCAGACGCTCGTCCCAGGGGCGCATTGGTAATCGCCATGCAGCAGAATTATCCACCGGGTAGCAATCGACATCGTCGATCGCGACACAGAGATGTTCCTTCACGCAGGTGCAGTCTGAGGACGACTATCATGACATAGGATGTGATTGCTTCTTCCAGACCCAGTGCTAGAAAACCCCCGGGATCGCCATGCCGCATTTCGTAGATCTATAGCCTCCCCATGCTCCGTGCTCCATTACAGTTGAAATTGCTTGTCAGTGCCTCCTCGCCCTATGACCTCATGCAACCACCCGAGACTCAGGAACCGTTCCGTCGACAACAGCAATCGCGCCAACATTGCCTGCGTCGGCTGATCCGTTTAGCAACGAGATCACAGAAATGACATCCGAAGGCTCGACTAGATGCCAGCTTGCCAACGTTTGCTTCGAGCTGGCGCCAACAGTGACCGAGAATACGTGATCCGTTGGCAGTTTGGACTGTCGCAGCGATCGGAACATGTCTATACGTATTAGCGGAATGGTCAGAAAACCTCAAAGTGCAA